ATTCATTGTCAAGGCTGGATTTCAATATAGCGATTCTGAGCTAACACTAAGTAAAAAACATTTTCATATATATATATATAAATATATATATACAGCAGTAGGAATCTGGTGTCGCCTTTTGGTAAGATCGAACTATGAGTCCCTTCATCGAGCTCCCCATCAGAAAAACTGATTTTTGGGTTTCATACCCACGTGCACACACATACATAGATAAATGTAGAAATTAATAATTATACAAGTCATTCTATACATCTTAAAATTCATATTATGGTGTGTATATATAACAGGTAAGTAGTGAACGAACTGAAAGCCACCACAGCAATAATTAGAAAAAATCAGATCATGAAATGAACGTTGGAATTCTAGTAGACAAAGTTCTTTCTAAACGTATCCGTGGCCCTCCAGCATGAATAGCAAACGGTAATATACAAAAAGTGGGCGTTATTGGTGCAAACTCGAGGTCAGTTTAGAGGCAGACTTTTGGCAATAGGCTGCCAATTCAAAGTGGACTAGAAGCAGCAGACCCGAGTGCAATGCAGGCCCTTGGACCTAACGACCAAGACTGATTTTGTGGCTCGAGTGGCTTTAGTGACGGCCAAATTATCAATTAAATACGGGCCATTTAGTCACCAGCCCAGCAGATTGATCCCACTTCAATTGGACTGACCTCAACTTTGACATAAAGCAAGTGGAGGCATTTTAGGCTTGACAGGCTCAATCCAGATGCTCAAAGTGTACTCTGTTCTCAGGCTCCGTCTGATTGACCGAGTTGTTTGAGTGGCCAGAGTAACATTTTCACCCGTCAAAAAGGCTTTACTTTCATAATATAGGGGCATTAGACCTGAATAACACAAATGCCACTGAGGCTTTATTGCCAAAACATGGGACATTCATAGAAGAGTGTGGCAAACAGCATATTTAACGGTCCTTCCATTCATCCATTAAATTAGCCGGCATTAGACCCAAACCAAATAATTCACAACTAAAAAGAAACCAACAAACTGTGAAGAACCCCCAAGTGGGCGATCAGAAGCAAGCGTTCCAAAGAGCTGCGAGTCCGCCTAATAGATAAAAAGATACTACGATAGATAGCCAAATAGATGGATTCGGTGGCGCATGAAAAATGCAGATGTAGCAGTTAGTTGAGCCCGGACCCAGGTTCTGTCAACCAAACACTTGGGCCAGAAGGAGCTTGTATGACGTTCACTACGAATTCGACTTCTGAGGGACAGCTCGCCAAGTTCTATGGCCACATACAACCATGTATTAGCTTCATGCGTAATTAGTTAGAAATAAAAACTGCAAGTTCTTCTACAGAGAAATGGGAAGGACAGAATGATAGAGAAAAGGAGTGGATTAATTAGTATCAGAAACGTTTAAGTATAAGATTTCATGTCGCTTGGGAGTAGCGTCTCTGAATAAAATAATAAAAGTCAGATGCTACCGTATTCGAAGTCTCAAACAGGACTGTTTTTTCGCCAGAATAGGTAACTTGGACTACATTTGCCCATGTCAATAGATTTGGAAAGAGGGAAAGGGGCAGAGAGATCAGAACAAGGTGAGAGTTTAGAGGGAAATTTTCTTGCCTCGTACTATGCTTATAGAAGAGTATACGCCCACCAAAGACTTATGGCCCGGGCAGAGAGCAGCACCTGTACCTATCCACCGCCACCGCCACCGCCACCGCACCGCTTTGGAGCCATTAATTCTGGTATCCACAGCGAAGCAAAGCAGACAACTAATCAATCATACAAGCAGGACAGCAACCGTGCCTCTCTTGACTGATTGCAAACAAATACACACAAATACACACTCAGGCCTGGGCACATCAACCACCAGACAGCCACATTTTTAATATATATACACAAACGAGTAGCTCCGGCGCGAGGCGCGAAGCAATTAACGGAGCAGTCAGCATGCCCTGAAGTTCGCATGTATCAGTCATGCAGCAAACTCCCTCTCAACAACACCATGGCCTCCGTTCTCGTCTCCACCCAGTCCATCTTCACTGGCTTCCTCAGGCCCGTTGAGCCGGAGAAAAAAGGGCGTTAGCATGTTATCCCCAACACTATCACTTGTCCAGCCCACTAGGCAACTTCTGGCCGAAAGCCGTCAAGCATCTCTCTTTCCCGCAGAATATACACACGCCTAATTTTGTTTGGTGGAGCAATTTCGAGAAGGGGAAAAAGAAGAATATGGTGTTGTTGCAAAAAAAACAGATTTTGCCCGGTGGTTTATGAGCCAAGGAATATTCTTCATAAGATAAAAGAAATAGACAACCAAGCTGACACAAGAGAGCAGTTCCCCCTAATGCTCGAGACCCATAAAACGGCCAAACTGGGGGCATAACTACAAGAAGGATGAACTGTTGCTACGATATTGGATCACTACAACTTAGTCGTATTTTTAGGAAGACTATGAACAACTTATCAATTACTGTGTCATAAGCAAATATTGCCATGTGTCTATTCAACACGGCACAGATGTCTGGGTAAACACATCCAAAACACTTCGCCAAGGTTTGCCAAAGCAAGTGACACAACTCTCCATGTCGAAGTAAAAGTTTGTTGAAAGAAATACGTGAAATGATCTCACCGGAAACCGAAGTAGGATTGCCGCGGAGGGAAGAAGTCATCGGCCCACCGTCCAGCGACCCCGATGAAAGTGTGCTAAGCTCTAATTTGTACTGTGGCATACATCATCAGAGCAACGACTTCTTCGCAAAATCCAATAGTCTTCACTTCGTGGCAATCCTCCTTCGGTTTCTTGTGAGACCATTTTACGCATTCTTTACATCCAACTTTCCCTTCGAAATGCAAAGTTACGTCACAATATAACACCAAGGAATTCTTCGGAACCCAGTTTTTTCTTCCTATTGCCGAAAAACGCCCTATCCATCCAATATTGCGAAAAGATTATGAGATCCCGACGAGCCGAATAGAGAAGGGGGATTTGAATGGTTCCTCTTAACAGCATAGACGTGTAAAGGTTACAGAAAGCCTGGAAGTACTCGGAAAACACAACATATCAACAAGAAATTAGTCAGTCTAAGTCACTAAAATTGATTTAAGGACTGAATGTTGAGTTTTCCCACAATCAGTTGGTTAGGCCTCAAGATTACATTGAATTTCAACACAAGGCTATCTCATCCAGACTGGACTGCAGTTTCGACCTTGTCCAGGTCTCATCTACTCCACAAAAGAAACCGGGTCGTGAGAATCATAGCGACGTTACCACTTCATTACATAGCCATGGGAATCAGGGTAATGGGGTATTCAAGGCAAATTAAGTCTAAAGAGCTGTACTCGCTCTATTTCGTTTAAGGTGATAAAGGACTGCTAATTGAACTTTCCCACAATCATATGAATAGGCCTCATGTTCTCACATGACCTACAATAAAATATCAAGCCTTATCCAAATCGCATTTAAAAGTAGGATTGTTATTGCAATCAACGAAGTGAACTATTTTCGATATAACTAGTTTTCGAAACCGGCTTTCTAAAACGGGCTTTATAAAAAATTAATTTTATTATTCTACTGAACCTTGCATTTGTCAGGAAAAATGGGTTGGAAAAGACGATGCGCGGAGGATTTCTATAGATAAATCGAAAGTACCAACTGTGAGGCTCCCTATGAGATCTATTTATCAAACCGAGATTAAAAGTCGGATAGCAGGAAAGTATTAAGTGATTCTTATTCGAAGCGCAACTTCTCTTTATACATAAAATAATATTGGTTGCGATGGATTGCGTCTTGTAAACCTTGAAGACATATGGAGTTTTTAAGCTTTGGTTGTTATGAGCTAACTGGCTAAGAATATATCTAACTCGAGAGGAAAATAACCATCATGAATTAACTCTTATTCAGCCTAGATCGCTAAAGGTGATTAAATGACTAATTGTTGAGTTTATTCCATAATTACATGGGAATGTCCATGCATTTCACCTAGCCTTGCTTCCCGGGTTAGAGTACCGTTGAGGTGTTGAAGAGATCCAGGCGAGGTCAAAACCGCAGTCCAGCCCAGAAGAAAAAACTTTTTGGGAAACGAAGGAAAGTAAAATTTGACGGTATCGTGTCGTAAAACTTCACTATCAGTCCGTAAATCACTTTAAATTATTCAGGCTGACTAAGAGCTAATTCACGAGTTATTGATAGTCTCGAAGCATATTTTGCCAAGAGTCTCCGTGTCTACACAATGGCCTCATTTGTGTCATACGACGCAGGACTTCGTCTTTCTGCCAAGACGAGAACAAAAAGGACCTATTGTGGATGGTGGTTACAACGAAAAAAAAGCAATACTACCCGATTGACATGTCTGAGATCAGTGTGTGGCCGTGTGTCATTTGTGAAAATTGGCAAACAAAATATGTGTGCCATACTCAGAAAAATGGGGTTGCCTAATTGAGGCAAAGTGAGACAACCGAAAAGGATGCATGTCAATGCACGAGTGTACACCATAGGAAGCAAGATAGGATTAGGGATGACGCGAAGAATTGGGCCACAGGATCAGCAGGTAGAGCAGGAGAATAAAAAAAAGCTAAAAATGAAGATGAACAAAGTGTTGACAACAAAATTCCAAGACCAGCCTGCAAATTGACGGAGTGACTACTAGTACAGAAGGGAAGGTGAGTAGTGTAGGTGTGACCAAAAAATGGGACCTGTTAAAGAGAGGGGCAAAATAGTGCTCACCAGACCGGCGGGACCAGCAGTGTCGGTGGAATACCTCGACGAGCGAAATGACGCCAAACCACCAGCCAGACTGCACACCGCAAGAGGCCCATTTGCATAGGCCGGCGCCTGTCGACCGAGTGTGGAGGCCGACGTCATCGACGACGCCTGACCAGAGGCCAAAGAAGTGGCCAAGCAGCCGGTGGCCGAGGGGAACTGGGAGAAGGCGAGTCCCGCAAAACCGGCGGCATCAACGCCAAACGGCGGGGAGCCGAGACGCCCAACGACCGGAGGATGGTTGGCATTAGAGACGGCCGAGTTGGCGCCACCCGGCCAGAAGCAACAGGAGGCAGCAGGTGAAGAGGAGGATGAAGACGATAACGATGAAGAAGATGACGAGGACGCCGAGGAGAGGTTGATGGAGGTGGCGGGATGGACGCCTGGTTGATGTGGATACTGATGGTGTGGATGGGACGTGGTCAGTGGTGAAGTCTCCGTCAGTGTAGTCTCTGACGCCGATCCGAAAGATGAGACATGATTGTTAACAGATCCAGTTGGGACAGTTGTGGCTGCTGAACCCGATTTGTTGGCGTTGGCGATGGCGGCAGCGATTGCGGCCGGATAGCCGGGCAGAAAGTAGGAGGCCAGATGTGGGTCGGTGAGAAAGGGCATCTTGAATACTGTCACCAGAAGGCAGACAATAACAAGGTTCAGGAGAGAAAAGAGCAAAAATGAGCATGCATACAGGCAAAAAATTTAACCGATTTTGGAAAGCATCAAATGTCAAAAAGATAAATTGCCTTGCGGTGAGGTAGAAGTGTCGGGATGAGAAACCGCTTCCTTGCGATACAATTAATAACTTCATAAGAATAACGTAGATTTCAAACCAATCAGTAGATCTTAATAAATAATGTCTATATATATATAATATATATTATAATAAATATTATTAAAATATATTGGAAAAATATTAATAATGAGAGTATTTGTAATTCTTGAATAAACCTACGGTGAATAAGAATACCTTCTGGGAAGCAAAGCTGAGTTAAATTGGATGGAAACGTGAAACCTACTCATATCATCGTGGGAAAATTAGATTATCATTCTTTTATCACCTTATGCGATCTAGAGTAAATTGCGCTCTTTTTCTAGCTTTACTGATAGTCTTGAAACCCACTTTTAATGAATAGAATCTCAATAAGAACCGTATTTACCCCCGTTTTGTTGAAGGTGATGAAGAACAGG